AAGAGATGCATTAATGGCAAAAAAAATATTGAGGGATTAACAACATCAACCATTTTCTTATTGTTGTTCTGTTTCCTCCTACTTCTGGCTGAAATAACTCGGGACAAAAACCTTATGATGAATGCAACTGAATATGTAATACCAGTTAATGAATAGGTAAAAACTAACAAATTAAGCAGAGAATTAAACATTGAGCTTGCCAAGTTGCTCCCTAGATGCTGGAAATAAAGCTGGAGCCTGATGCAATTGAGGCACAATATCAACGTTGATTTCAAGAGCTTTCCAAGAGGAGGGAGCAAGCATTAAAATGTTGGCTGTTTAGACATTAACATCCTTTTAACCGTTTTATTCTTTCCCTTTCGTTTTTCCTTGTTAGCTTCTTTTTGAAAATTTTGATGACAACGGTTTAAACTTCTTGAATTGTGATCCTTGCTAACCGGAAGCTGTGCTTTTTTGGTGTTATTAATTGGGATGAGAATGTCTATACTTTTCACTTCAGATTAACATCTTGTTTCTTGTTTATCAGAAGAATGACTTGTAAGTATTGGAATCGGTCAATCTTTTAAGGCATAAGTGACTTTTCTTCACACATTTCCGTTTTTGCAGCAACAGCATCACTATTTGCTGTTTCCAAGAAAAAGAAAAAATGGTACATAAACAGATAATACTTGAGAGAGAACAGGCACTGTTGCCAAGAAAGGAAAAAAAAATGCGTCACTCGGACTCAAACCGGAGACCTTCAATGTGTTAGACTGACGTGAATCGTGATAACCAACTACACCACAACACCTTGTCTGCTGTGATGAAGAATAAAATTATTTTTTTAAAAGATATTATATAATTCATTAAGAAATTTTTATTTCTTTTGTCGATTGTTTCAGAGATGCCGGTTGAGAAGGAGACCTCTAACAAACTGCTGGATTGTCTGAGGAAGTTGACTTAAAATATAAATGGAATCTGTAAAACTATGATTTTGGTTTATATAAACAAAAACTTACGAGGCATGCAACTGAAGTAGTAATACCAAGTTAATGAATTGGTGAAGACTTCAAATTAAGCAGAGAATTGAATGTTATGAGTTTCCCACGCTGCTGCTCGATGCTCATCCCTGTCCATGGCAGACTGATGCATTTGAATATTAATATATGTTCAATACAAACATAATTAATTTTCTTTATTTCTTCGTATGCTATAAAGATCATATTCATATTTGAATATATTTCAAACACAAATTTCTTTAAAATTTTAAAGACCATATTCAATGATCTTGTACATCGTCCTTTTTGCAGCACCTTCTGTCCAGCTCCATCGATTTGCATTTCTACTCAGTGGATAGCTCCGTTACATTGAAAAAAAGCTATAAAGTTCTTAGCATTAAGGATGCTAAAAGAAGGAAAGTTCCATATAATCCAAGAAAAAAATGAAGTAGAAAACTCATTTATGAATTAATTAACTCATTTCACTGCTAACATGTTTCCATTAAGTAGGGCAAATAAATCATGTATGAGCCAAATGCTTTGTTTTATTATATAGGCGATCTTGATCAAAGCAAATGCAGTATCAGCAAATATTGAGCTTGTGATTTGTTCCATTTTTTAATTACTTTATTCATTGAAAAAGGTAATTAAAAAATAAATGTGGACAAGCAAACTTTTCCCTACATGTCTTCTCAATAATGCAAATGAACTAATATCGTAGAATTTTTCTCGTAGCAAAATAATTTCAGACAGGAAGTTTTTTCCTTGTGGCAAGAAGGCCAGAGCTTTTACCTTCAAGAATGGCTGATAAAACGTTACCGACTTAAGAATCCATCATAGATGCTGAATTGCCCCAAAAAATTATGGGAACATGCTTCTACCTTAAAGCATTTGACATTATAAACTCCAAGATCTCAAACTAGACTCAAACCGGAGACCTTCAATGCGTTAGACTGACTAATAACCAACTACACCACGACAACTTGTTGATCGCAATCAACTATTAATTAGATAATACTAATGAACAAGTACTTTAAGTTAATGAATTTGTGAAGACTTCAAATTTAGCAGAAAATTGAATGTTATGAGCTTCCCGGTTGGCTGCATGATCCTCAGCTCTGTATATGGACAAATTTCTGGATGTTCGATTTTGGAACTAAAGATGGAGATGATGCAGTTGAAGCACAGTATCGACAATGGTTTCAAGAACTATGCAGACATTAGAGGCCTACAGAAAAGAGATGCATTAACGGCAAAGAAAATGTTAAGGGATTAACAACATCAACCATTATCTTATTATTATTCTGTTTCCTTCTACTGAACAAAACCTTATGATGAACGCCACTGAATATGTAATACCAGTTAATGAATAGGTAAAGACTAACAAATTAAGCAGAGAATTAAGTATTATTAGCTTGTCTAGGTGTTGGAAATAAAGCTGGAGCCTGGTGCGATTGAGGTACAATATCAACATTGGTTTCAAGAGCTTTCCAAGATGGAGTAGGCATTAAATGTTGTCTGTTTAGAAATTCACATCCTTGCTGACCAGAAGCTGTGTTTTTTGGGTATCATTAATTCAAATGAGGATGTATATATAACTCTGCACTTCAGCTTAACATCTTGTTTCTTGGTTATCAGAAGATGACTTATAAGTATTGGAATAGGCCCATTTTTTAAGGCATAAGTGACTTTTCTTCACACATTTCCGTTTTTTGCAGCACCAGCATCATTGATTTGATCTTTCCAGGAAAATCAAAAATGGTATATAAACAGAAAATACAGATAGATTAGTTGTTGTTGCCATGAAAGGAAAAAATGGCATCACCCAGACTCAAACCGGAGGCTTCAGTGTGTTAGATTGGCATGATAACCAACTACACCACAACACCTTGTTTACTCATTCTAAGAATAATACTATACGTATTTTAAAAAGTATAATTTTATAAACTGCTGGCCTCGTCTGAGACTGCTGACTCAAAATATAAATGAAACCTGCAAAACTTTGATTTTGGTTGGTATACACAAAAACATATAATGCATGCAACTGAAGAAGAAGTAACACTAATGAATTAGTGAAGACTTAAAATTAAGCAAAGAATTGACTGTTATGAGTTTCCCAAGTTGCTGCTCAATGCTCATCCCTGTATATGGCAGACTGATGGAAGTGAAGCACAGCATCAACATTGGTTTCAAGAGCTATGCAGGATGAGGGTGGCGCTTACTGGAAAGAGAGAGTTCAATGGCAAAGGAACTGTTGGCTGTTCAGGGATTAACAACATCGGCCATTTTCTTCTGTTCTCTTACAATTTTTGTCCTTTCTATGAATATGATTTTAACAATGTGAATTTCTTCTATTGCATTCTTTTCGGCCGGAAGCATTATGTCAATGAACCGTTGCTACTGGAGATCACTATCATGGAATGCATCGTCAGCGAGCACTACCTATGAGAGCTATGCTTGTATAGCATGTTAATTACAGAAAAAAAATGTTAATCAACTTGGAAATGAATGTTGAATATTCATATATGTTCAATATGAGCATAATTATTTTTTTTTTAAATTTTTTTCGTATATTATGAAGATTATATTCATGTTCAATATGACCATCGATTTGCATTTCTACTCAGTGGAGAGCTCCGTTACACTGGAAAAAAGCTATAAGTTTTTAGTATTGGGGATGCTAAAAGAAGGAAAGTTCCATATAATCCAAGAAAAAAAAAGTAACAAACTCATTTATTTATTATTGCAGCATTAATTAACTCATCTCACTGTTAACATGTTCCATTTCTTGATTAATATATTCATTGAAAAAAGTTATTAAAAATAAATGTGCAGACAAGCAACCTTTTCCCTACATGTCTTCGCAATAATGCAAATGAACTAATGTCGTAGAATTTTTCTCGTGGAAAAATAATTTCAGACAGAAAGTTTTTACCTTGTGTCAGAAAGGCCGGAGCTTTACCTTTGAGAATGGCTAATAAAACAGTACTGACTTAAGAAACCATCGTAGATGCCGAATTGCCCCAAAAAAATAAATTGCAAAAAGCTTACACCTTAAAGTTTTTGTCATGTATCATCTTTTCAAAAAGGCATATTTGATAAGATGTACAGTTTCACCGCTTATAAACTCTCCATTTTCATTTTCAATGTTTGATTCATGTCCCTGATCTCTCAAAGATGTGATATTTGATGATGCAAGAGGAGAGAAAAGCTTGTGTCGGGAGACGAGTGGTCACATATCACGGGCCTAGACCACGTCGATCGCCCCACATTCTTATTTTAGGCTTAAATAATAGACTGTATATAGGGCAAGGACCAGAGATTGTATTATGAGACGGGCAATTATAAACGAGTGTTGAAAGAGAAATGACTCGATATATCATAGACTGGGGTTTGCCGAGTGACCCCATGAAAGAAATAAGAAACTTCCTTCGTCCCTATGTACCTTCCAACTTTAAATGTAGTTTGTCTTCTCTAATGGATAAATTATTCATCGACAGTTTTGTTTTTCCAATTTGCTATCATGTAACACATGTATGACGGCAGTGATGATGAAGTCCGTGGAATGCTACAAACCTTATTATCGTGTGATATAAAAATGATAAGTATCGATAAAATGCAATTAAAAAAGGGATAAATTACATATTTAGTACTTAAACTACTGTTTTTAATCTGTTTTAATACCTAAACTTTCAATTTTTTAAAATATGTCTAACGTTTAGTTTTTTTTATTTTAGTATTTCACCGTTAAAAACTTAACGCGTTTAATACTTAAACTATCAGTTTTGATCCGTTTTAGTACCTAAACTTTTAATATTTTTAAATTAACGTTAAATTTTGAACGGTACTAAAATGAAAAAAAACTAAATTTTAAGTATGATTTTGAAAAATTAAAAGCTTAAGTACTAAAACGAATCAAAAGGGTTAGTTTAGGTACTAAACTCACAATTCAGAAAGAAAGTACATGGAAATGTCCCTATATATAGCCAGCTCTCTAGGTGCAAAATCCACCGTCCGCATCTTCAGTTCAGTTACTTTAGCGACCGAATAAGAAGAAAGAACTTCTTTGAGAAACCCGTCATTATGGACAACAACGAGATTAACGGAACAACAACAACAGCAACAAGCAAGTACGAGGATTTGTTGCCCGTGATGGCGGAGAAGCTGGACGTGGAAGCTTTCGTGGGTGAATTATGTGGAGGGTTTCGGCTTCTAGCTGACAGCGGAAAAGGGTTGATTACGCCGGAGAGTCTGCGGAGGAATTCGGGACTTTTGGGGATGGAAGAGATGAGCAGAGAGGAAGCAGAAGGGATGGTTCGAGAAGGTGATCTGGACGGCGATGGGGCACTCAACCAGACTGAGTTCTGTATCCTCATGGTTAGGCTTAGCCCCGGGATGATGAACGATGCCGAAACATGGCTTCAGAAGGCCATTGCCCAGGAGCTCAACAGCCCCTCTGCTTGATTCTTCTTTGGACTTAGTATTTGTTGTACTTGGTGAATTATGATGTTCTTGTGTACTGCAAAGTTCTATTAGTTGTTAGTGAAAATGATTATGACCTGTTAACAATGGTTCACTAGTCTGTCCTTAAAGTATGGCATCATAGTCAAATCAAATGATCTCCGGTAAACAAACTCAATTGAACAAGTACAACTTCAATAGATCTGTTCCTCAACATTATTTCTCAATATGCTGTGTAATTCCTTTTGCAGTGATCTCCGGGACTCGAAAATTATACAACCGAGTAGACTTAACAATAAAGAGAAAAAGGGTAAAAAAACAAAATACAGACCTAGGCATAGCCACAAAAATACTTTCGATAACCACGTGACAACACTTGATGACTTTGCCATAAGTCTGAACATCAAACAGGCGATCTCTGCTGCGAATTCAATGAGCAATAAGGATGGCATTGGCATTGCATATAAAGTATTAATAAACTGAAACAAAGTTCAGAAGAGATAAAAGAACCGGAAAGCAACCATAAATGGCTTTAAATCACTACCTCTGATAACTATTGTAAACACTAATTTTTCGTTTATTATTATTAAATTATTATTATTATTATAAATATTATTATTAATATAAATATTATTATTATTTATTATTAAATATATATATATATATATATATATTACAAATTACATCAGAATCCCAACAAAAAAGCCCAGATCCTGAAGCCCAGTTCAAGCCCAAGTGGAGACCCAACAGTAACTCTAGGGTTTCTTGCATCTTCATCCCAGCCGCCTCAATCTCAGCCGTTGGATCTGGCAAGATCCAACGGTCCAAAGCTCTCCAACAAGAAACCCTAGGGTTATGATACCCTAAGGACCACGCGGCGCCGCCTCTGCCTCCAGCCGCCCCACGTCGACGTCTCAGCCAGCTGCCACGCCTCCACGAAGCCACCTTCAACCGAAGCCTCCAAAAGCACCTCGTTTCTGCCCCACGTTGAAACCCTATGGTGAGTCACCACCATAGTCTGGTGACTCACCTAGGGTCACCATTTGAGACCGGTTCGAGAGATACACCGTCGATGGCTACCACCTAAAAAAAAAGACAACAACAACGGCAACGCACAAAGAAAGAGAACCCACTACGAGCAGTGAACCAAAATAGAAAACAAAGAAAGAAGAAAGAAACTTACCTTTGGAGCCTTGACCATCGCCGTAAGCACTAAACATCGCCGGAGAACAGAAAATACCGAAGGTATTTTCATAGATCTACTCCGACTAGGAGTCTTTTTGGGGAAACAAAGGTCGGACTCGACTTTGGGGAAATTAGGGCTGTATTTTAATGTAAAAAAAAATTTCCGGCCACCGCCGGTGGCCGGCGGTAGAGTTAACGGCGGCAGACGACTGCCGACTGGTGGCCGGCCTTCCTCCGGTTGGAGGAATCTAGAGAGAGGCGAGAGAGAAATCTCTCTCTCAGTTTAAGAGAGAGAAGAGGAAAGCAGAAATGAGGAAGCTTGGCCCTTCGGGCCAGGCGTTTAGGGTATTTATATCCCTTCCCAAACGATGTCGTTTTGGGGAAGGGTATCTGTGTAATTTCATAACAGTAAAACCCTTTTCGCTGCCCCTTTAATTTTGTAATATTTACAAAATAGTCACTACAAGTTATTTTTATTTATTTTAATTTGGTATTCAAATTTTAATATATTATGTTTTAGTCCTTTCCAGTATAATTACATACTTTAGGGCAAATAACCGATTTAGTCCCTTATTATTTAATTAATATTTATTTTAATCCTGTATAATTATATAGGTTAAATTACATTGTTAATATTTATGTTTTATAATATTTCGAATTGGATTTCTTAATTTTAATAATTGATATTTTAATCATTGATTAATAATTATATATGTAAATTATTAATTTCATTATTTTATTTATTATATATATATATATATTGGTTTAAATAATAATATTTATTTTTAATATCAAAGAAAAGGGCAGTCTTAAAGCAACTAGATGTCATATTCTGATATGTTAAAAATAAATAAATATCTTATTTATAAAAATCAGAAAACACATATTGTAAAAAAGAATTATTATTTTTAAATTAAGAAAGGGCAGTCTTAAAGCAACTGGATGTCCATTTTCTGATATTTTTAAATAAATATTTTACTTTTATCAATTATATATATTAATCTAATTTTTATTATTTTTAAATAAATATTTTATCAATATTTATTTATTTATTTTTTATATCAAGAAAAGAGCTGTCTTAAGGCACCTAGAAGTCCTTTTCTGATATTTCTAAATAAATAATATTTTTATAAATATATTTAAAAATATATTTTCTTAAAATTATAGTAATAAAATTTGAAATAAAATAATTATAAATTAAATATATTTGAATTCTTAAAATTCTATTATTAGAGACAATTTAATTAAAAGTACCAATTTTGGGCGTTGTAGGGGTGCTAATCCTTCCCTAAACGTAATCGACCACGAACCCCTTTTTATTAATAAAAAGAACGAATTTTTGGTTATAAACGCGGATCAGTTCATCTTTTAACTGATGTTTTCTTAAAAACTCTTTTAAAAGATAATTTTAGGTATTCGACCTACCTAACCCAAAAGGCCGATGGCGACTCCCAAATTATTTATTATTAACATCACTTTTCCCGCCAAGTAAAAAATCCGTGCCCGGACGAAAACGGTTACGACAGCTTGGCGACTCCGCTGGGGACCTTTTCAAGCTTTTAAAATCAATTATAAATTGTCTTTATTAATTATAAATTAAAAATTCATATGTTTAATTTATAATTCTTTCTTTTCAAATTTTTTTTATATATACTTATTATTTTCATAGTATTTATATATATTATTTCATTTTATTTGCAAGCATTTTATTTCATTATTTATTTATCTGTTAAAGGTTTGAACATTTCTCCTGACACACAACACTTGCATTACATAAAGCTCTATAATTGAGTTTGTCCCTTTTAAGTGGGAGTGAAAACGACGTCTTCGTGAGAATTTATTCTCCGTGTCAGACCTAGCAAGTAACTTTTGGGGTTCATATGCTCTATGTCTTCGTGAGAATTTATTCTCTGTGTCAGTCATAGAGAAATGTGTCCCCTCGAATTGAACTCGATCCGCTTAAAGTCTGTAATGGACTAGGATTGAGGGTTTTGACAGCCCAATGGGGTATCAACAAGGACAGTTCGAGTACCTTTACTCCTAGAACTGAAAACCTGCATATAATAAACCCTAGATACTCTCCCGATCTGAAACCATTTCAGTAGGTATACACAAAGGAGAAATAAACTCTAGCTTTTAATTTATTTTATTTCCTTTTCTTTTTCCTGAATAAATGCATGCGAACTAGAAATCATGCGGTTAGGTTAAATTTTCCAAACAAAGCATGGAACTAGAAAGCATGAGGTTAGGATTTATTATATACCATGATAAATAAATTTTTTTCTTTCAATTAGTTGGTATTAACCATTTTATTTTTTCTTATTTTCCCCTGCATGTTATTTTTGCTCAAATTTGTTTATATTGTTTTCTTTTGTTTGCATTACATGATCATGACCAAAAGGTGTTAACTGAAAAGACTGTTCATCAAATTGGAAAGAAATCATAAATGGACAAAAAGTTTTATGATCGAACAAAATATGACGCAACCGTGGAATGGCATCCTGAGGGAACTCCAAGGATAGAGGAGAACTATGCACCCAAAGATTGTATGCCCATTAAAGATCAAAAGGAGATACGTGAGATAAGAGAGCAGATGTCCAAGATGATGGATAGAATATCTGTTTTGGCCAAAAGAGAAGAGATTCCTTCACAGAAAGAGAGAAAGCTTAATGAAGATAATCCTGCAATTTCAAATATATAAGGGACTTCTGATCCTAACCAATTTGAAAAGTTGCAGACAATCATCATTTGTATTCACAAATCGTCTGGAGATACCAAAGAAATGATGACAACTGTAAAAGCTCCCAGAGAAGAGAAGAAATCATGTAATCAGAAATCATCAAAGTTTGGTCTGCTCCCGATGTCTAAAACTCATGTTCAATCCAAGATAAAAGGTGGTTCTCATATTGATATTATACCTATATCATATAAAGAGTTGTATGAGAAGCTACTGGAAGCACGAGAAGTGGATCCATATTATATAAAACCGTTCCAACCTCCGTATCCGAATTGGTATAACATCAACGTTTATTGTAAATATCATGCCGGAGCTCAAGGACATACCATTGAGAATTGTCTTGCCTTCAAACTTCGAGTCCAAAGTCTTTTGGATCAGGGAATCTTGCAGTTTATGATAAATGATCAACCTAGTTTGGTAATTGAAGATCCTGTCAGATCAACACCAATATATTCAAAGGTAATAGCATCAGTAAGGACGTCCAGAAGGAAGAAGATTTGCCGAGATTCGAAGCCAAATATGTCATTTGAAGGATCAAAACAAGGAATTGAGCACCAAAATGAAAAACATGCATGAAGATTTCCAAAAGATCAGTCAAGCCTTTCGAAATGTGGCATAGGAAACACCCTAGAAGAGTGGATCACAGGGGTCACCAAGATGAAAAAACAGTAACATATATGAAGGACGAGCCAATAAGTTTTCTCATGATTTACGAGTTACAGAAGAAAGATGCAATAGGTCTGTTAGTGAATTGAAAAAATATCAAGTCGAAAATCAAGTGTTGAATAGTGCTATGACCAACATGGAAGCATCATATCAGATCTATCAGCATGAGATTGATACTGAATTAGAAGCCACTATAGACAAGAACAAGACATTGAAGAAATGTTTAGATGATTATAGAGATCTTGTACGAGAACTTTTTGAACACAAAGATTCTCACAAGAAAAAATGAACAACTTTGTTTACAACTTCGAGAATTGACATAAAGGATAAAGGAAAAAGACAATGTCATGAATAAAGCTGCTGCTCAAGCAAACAATGTGGCTCATAAGCTGGTGGACTTAGCTGGCTTCACAAGAGAATTAAAGCAGATGGATAACCACACCTGAGTATGAGTGGAAGTTAGTTTGGCTTTTAAGTTAAATAGAGAAATTAGGAGTGAAAGCTATTCCCTACATGTAAAAGTTTTGTTTGATGTACCGAGAC